GGGGAATTGGAGCCTGCAGAGCCCCGTGCCAAAGCGCTGGTGGTGCCAAGCAATTCCATGCTTGCAGTGTGATGCTGTGCCTGGGTTGCAGCAGCACCTTGTGCCCTGCTGCTGCTGCTGCTGCTGCCTGAGCGCTGCCCATCCCATGTGGAATGCCTTGGTAACCGTGTGCTCCCTGTGCAGGTGCGGATCGAGGACGACATCGCGGTGACAGCCACCGGAATGGAGCTGCTCACGTGTGTCCCACGGACTGTGGAGGAAATTGAGGCTTTCATGGCAGAGGGCCAGAGCAGTGCCAAATCATTTGTCTGCCTCTCCAGCCAAGAGCAGTAAACTTCAGGATGATACTTATTGCCCCAATTAATCAGTCATCATTCTGATTTAATGCTAGGGCATATAAAATAAAATGAATCCAATTCTTAATAGCAGGAGAGGCAGGCAGGCTATTAGCTGGAAAAATTCATGCATTAAAAATGAAGGTAGAAGGTCCAGGTAACTCAACTGCTGCTTGCAATCAGCAGTTTATGTGACCAAGTGGCAGCTAAATAGCCCTACTGCCTTATCATATTTCTTTCAGATTTCAGCTCACATATATTTTGCAATTAAATCTGAATTTTGATGATTGGGACTCTAAAATACCAAATGGCCTATCTGAAAGCTATGAGCCATTGTAATACTCTTAATTCCTTTTTTAAACTTCATCACAAGTTCTGTGAAAAACAGAAATAAAAATCAGTTGTTCTCAGTGGACATAATGACACATATTTTTCTTATGGATCTGTATCCTTGCAATAAGCAGAACCAAATTTTTATTAAAATTCACCTTGGCATCATTTGTGTTCACAACTTTGTGGTTATTATGCTTTTCTGCTCCAGTTCCTGCTTCTTTATCTGACCCTACTACCAATTTGTTCTCTGCAAACTTTGACCCTTCACTAGCCAGAATTTTCTGCTCTGGATAGTGGCTGTACTGATCCTTCACACACAGCCCCATGCTCATTAGATTTGTTCATCCATTTGTTCCTTAAAAACATAGATTGCTATGGTGCTTCTAGCCTCAAAAGTTGAAAGAAGGGAATATCTTTGCTGCATGGCTCATGGTCATTCAGCAGCATATGCTGTGCAGCATGATAGAGTTATTTTTAACTGTTCAGTGTTTGACAGTTCAGAATGAAATAATGTAAATTTTACTTGGATACCTTACAAACGTATTAATATTGGTCACAAAATTATTTTCCACTCATGCAAGATTTGAATTACCAAGAGAAGCTTTTCTTTACTGTAGGTATTCATCAGCTTGCAGAATAATAAATACATTTCTTGCATCCTAAAATAGCACTAGGTGCTGGTAACTACATAAAAATAATCTTTCTCACTCTACATACACATCAAAACTCCTGTTCAATATTCAGATTCTGTTGCAGTTTGACTGAAAAGCCACTCCAGAACATCTCTGTGCTGTGCTGGGGGGAGCTGAAGCCACAGCAGAGCATCAGGGCCTTTCTGGATCTCACTGCCTGCCAGGTGAGGATTTTCCCACTGAAGGAATCATCTGAGTTGATGCCTCAGCAACTTGGTGTGAGCAGCTCAGTTCTGTTGCTCACCCCAGGCCACTGACACTGATGGGATGGACTGTGAGCTCCTGCAAGTGCCCTGCCTCACGTGGGGGGCACAGCACAGCATGGGCCTGGGTGCTGTCAGAAACCAGAAACCACTCCCACTGCCTTTGTGCCCCCCACCCCCGACTGGATCTAAGCCTGAAATAATTTCCTTTAAAAGTGTCATATACGTTGCTCTAGGAGAGCTCTTTTTGCTTAGCAGGTTGGTCTGTGGGACAAGAACCTGCTCCTTATTCCCAAGAGCTTGGTGATCCATTGCTGTGTAGGAGACTTCATATGGGAGACCAAAGAAACATTGTGAAACAATCCAGAGGACTCCATTAATGTCACTCAATTAATAAATAAGCCTATTTACATTTTTTAGAGGTTTATTGACATTAATTTGTAAGAGGCAAGTGCAGGAATTCTTGACTGAAGGGAAACTATTTTTTCAGGAAGCGAGGTTGTGAGATCAGAAGCTTGGACGTGCTGCTGCATTGATGTTCCTGCTGTGGTGACTGGAATCTTCCACCTCTGAAACGTAGTACCTGCACAGAGCCATCAGGCTTTGCTGTGCCTTGCAGATATGAGAACACAGAGATTATACTGGCATTGCTCTGAACTCATCTGCCCCCAAAACTCGGGTTTTTTCAGTGGAAAGCAGTGCTTGTGGCCTTAGCCCCATTCCCTCCACAGCCAAGTGGAGGCTCTGAACACGCCCAGGGGATGGATGGCTCACTGCTCTGAAACCTGCTGTGCTTGGGTGCAGCAGCAGTTACTATTTTATAGTAACACTTCACAGATTTGGAAAGAAGGAGAGTTTTGGAACTGTTTCAGCTAAGCCGTCACGCCGGTGCAGTTCCTGGGCCTTCCCTGGCCGTGATGAATGCTGGCAGGAGCTGGGCTCTGCTGCTGCAGAACCGGTCGGGCAGTGCCGGGCTGTGCAGCAGCAGAACCGGTTGTGTTTGGGTGTGGCCGCGCACGGTCCTGCCGCGGGCCCGGGGAGCGCCCGCTCCGCTCCCGGTCCCCGGTCCCTGCTCCCGGTCCCCGCTCCACCTGGGATGATTTTGGCTCTGGGATGAGGCACTTGCTCCCATTTTCCTTCGTCACCAAGCCTACAAACTCGGGGAATCAAAATTTCATCTTTCATTCCAGAAGTTTGTTCAGTAATTATGATCATTTTTATCCACTTAAGCAAAAAGTGAAATAGACCTTTTTTCCTAAATTGGAGAGAGGAGGGGGAACAAGCCTTCTTTAAAAAGGCAAAGTGATATTCAATATTTTAAAAAGTTATATTAAATAATTTCAAGTGTATTAATGTACAGGTTATAGTAAATTTTCTTTTTGACTACATCAAGGTATTTTATACTGTCATGTTGTCCCAAATGTCTTTTCCCCTTAGCACAAACCGACTTGAATAGAGTTGGCACCGAAGTAACAGAATGTATCTTGTGCTGAGCAAATTTGTGTGTTTAGAAACGTCTGAGCACTTCTGAAATGACACATGTAAATTGCTTCTGCAAATTGCTTCAGCTCCTTGGGGTTGGGTGCACTCTGAATTTACCTGCCAATTATCCTGCTGCAGCTGCAGGAGTGGTTACAGGAGTGCAGCTCCCAGTGGGGGCTGGAGCAGACCCCTTCCCTTAGCGCTACAGCGAGAAAATGGGATCAGCTTTCCTGCTGAAATGGGCAGTGCTGTAACTCCTTGTGTACTGACAGGCACTGGATTCTGTCACAGACTGGAGTTAAGAATAATATGTCAAAAGAAAAATCTTAACTTTTACAGGTCTACACTGAAATTTTCTGTGCCTTGCAGCAGAGGGGTGACATGAAGGGACTTTGCTGTCATACAGCCTGGGCTGTTTCACCTTCGGGGAAACAGGAAACGACCTTTGCTCCTTGGAGCTACTTTGGCAGGTGGGGGCTTAGAATAAGACAAGACTGACCCTTTGCTTGGAACCAGCCTCTCACTGAAGTAAGGCTAAAACATTGATTTGTTACAATCATGGCAGTGAGGTGCACAGAGCCCCTTGCTCCTCCCAGGCCTTGTCCTGGTGCCAGCCAAGGACAAGGATCATTGTCCCATTGCCAGTCAAGGACAGGGGTCCTTGTTCCAGTGTCAGCCAAGGCCAGGGATTGTTGTCCTCTTGTCAGACAAGGCCAGGGATCATTGTCCCACTGTCCCCAAGGCCAGGGATTGCTGTCTCGCTGTCCCCATGCCTGGATCGCTGTCTGTCCCGCTGTCCCCATGCCCAGGTCCCATTGTCCCTGTGCCGGCAGGCCCTGGCGCTGGGCACAGGCCCGAGGCGCTGGGCTCAGGCCCGAGGCGTTGGGCACAGGCCCGCGGTTCTGGGCTCAGGCCCGAGGCGCTGGGCTCAGGCCCGAGGCGCTGGGCTCAGGCCCGCGGTGCTGGGCTCAGGCCCGAGGCGCTGGGCTCAGGCCCGAGGCGCTGGGCTCAGGCCCGCGGTGCTCGGCTCAGGCCCGAGGCGCTGCTCAGAGGCCGCGCCGCCGTTTCCGTCCCCTCTGTTCTGTCCCAGGCTCGGAGCTCGGCGCGGCTTCACCTCTGTCACCGCTGCTGCCACTGGCTGCTTTCTTACCTGGTCGCTGTTAAATTGTTAATTGTTGCTAAATTGTTACAGTAAATTGTTATCTCAACCCCTAATCTGCATTTTTTTTTCTCTCACCTGAGGGGGTGAGGGGACAGGAGTGGCTTCCTGGGGTTTATTTTCCAGTTGGGCTTAAACCACAACATCAATAAAGAAAACCAGTGCAGGGGCTGATAAATTAGAAATTTCGTTTTCCAAACAAATTACTTTTGTCATTTTTTGACTCAGTGGTTAGGTTTTAAACATGAAGGAAACAGGATCACAGCTGTCAGGAGCAGCAGGTGGAAAAGTCGAGAAGAGGATCACCCTCACTCACGGGAGATCTAAGAAAATCATCTTCACCAGAATCACAAACAAACAGCCAGGATCTGCAGCCCCTGTTCAGACTGCTAAAGGAGGGCCCCACATGAGCCTGGCAAACCAACTTCAGGACAGCAGGGCCACGGAGTCCCAGAGCACAAGGCAGACAGCCAGGAAAGGGATCAGCGCTGCCCTTTGCACCAGAGGAGGTGCAGTTAAATGAGATGCCTTCAGGTCCTCTTTTTTCTTTTAAGTTTCGGTGTTCTGCTCATCTCCCCTCCCCTCTAACTGCAATATATTTTCAGTCTTAATTTTTTTTCCTTTTTTGTTAAATCAGACATTTAGACAAAACTGTAATGAGTTTCTGATGGCTTCCATGGAGCAGAAACCTGAGTGGAAGAGAGGAACAGAGACTATTGCACTGATTTCTCAAAGATAGCTGTGTGAGTTGGGCAACTGCACTTGAGGGAAATAGAAAAGGGACAGGAAAAATGAGGCCACTACAAGCAAAACATTTTTATTAGCTTCTGGTATTTCAACCCTACCAACTTCAGATGCAGTTAGAATGAAAAAAACCATATCTGTAAAAAGTCTAACATAATCCAAAACAATCCATAAAGTTATCCAAATGTATTAAAAGTTTAAATTCAAAAAAGAACTTTTCAAGGTTTCATACTCTAACAGTATCTTCATAGAGATAACATCCATGTTTTTTCCTAAGTACAGATACAAAGCAAACAAGCATCCTCCAAAATAATCTATGGACAAAGGTAGTGTAAGAGGGAAATTGAGACAGTGTAGTAATCTACAAGACAGACACACAGGTTAAATGTAAAATAACCATACCATCAATGAAATATTTAAAAATGAAAATAAATTAAAGTTACATCAAAGTTCCTGTTTTACTTTGTTTAAATCCTCAATATAGCACATAGCACTGCATTATGGATCATGGCAAAGACTAAGCAGTAGCAATAAAAAAGTTGCTACAGAAAAACTTCTATGGAAATAAGACTAAAGATACTCCTTCACACAGCTGTATGATGGGTGTAGAAATTCCACCAAATCACTTTTTCATACTAGGGCCATTTATTTTAAAAATCTCTGTAAATTTCTGTAAGATTAATGTCAGCCAGCAGTGATCCATACATCCCAGCTGAACACTTGCTGTCCTGCCCCTTTCACTCCTAAGCCAAGCTGCACTTCTTGTCCTCCCCAATACCTCCTTCCCAGCAAGGGCACAGCTTTTTGGTAGCATTTTGAAACTTTCTGAAAACAAACTCTTGTTCTCATAAGGCCCCAGTCACTATGTGAGCAATATGAATACAAGCTTAAATAAAAAGCTTTGTCAGTGTGCTGCTTTGCCTCTTGTACATGATGCTTCCCGTGCCATTTGGAGGCCAACTGCCTGTACACATCATCAGAGCATATTGTTATTTTTCTGGTGAACATTGGTAAGCATCCCAGCTCACTATTACTACAACCTCCCCATTTACTATACCTGGGCAGGAGGGACCTACGTGGTGCTTCTCAGGACTTGTCCTACAGATTTAAACTAAAAAGCAAAAATTCTCCACAGCCTTTGCAGTTTGTACTATGTAATGGAGAAAACAAAGGGCTAAAATACACTAACAGGTATTTAAAAGACGTTCTATCCAATTACAAGTTTCTGATACTACAGTGAGCCATCCTGCTGGATTCCTCCCATTATGCGAAGTCTAAAATGGTGAGTGAATATTCCTGTGAAAACGTCATCTCCTAAATATTACATTCCTTGTTGGTTATGAGTTCAGATCTGCATAAATCTTTGAGAAGAAAAATATTTAAAACAAATACTCTAACCAGTTTCTGGTTTAATTGTTACAAATCTTCAGTGTTAAATCTTAAAGAAGAAAATCTCCACAAAACAATGACTAAAGGTACAGTTTTTGCTTGGTTACTGCATGGGCACTGCAGACAAGCTGCTCCTCAAGAGTTTGTTTCATAAGGTCGCAGGTGTCTACTGTCCACTGTTTTCTGGATTTGTTGTGGTGGTCTCAGTGCCAACAGGTTGCACGTTATCTGCAAAATTGTGGGCATGCTCAAGGAACAAGTCTTTCAGTACGCTCAGCTCCTTGGTCAGGAGTTTAATTTTTGCCTCTAAACGTTCATTTTCTTCTTTAAGCTGGTTGACCCTTTGCAGCGTGTCTTGTGCTTTCTGCTTGCTTTTTAACCGGCTCTTTTTCACTGCCATGTTGTTTCGCTCTCTGCGCTGACGATACTCATCACTGTTTCTGTCCACAAAGGAGTTTTTCTTTCCCTGTTTGCTCGGAGGCACAGCTTTGCCTCCACCACCAGGACTAACTGGCACCAGCTGGGGAACCTGCTGCAAACCACTGGAGTGTGCTTGGGTGTGAATCACACTTACTCCGCTCGCATCTGTGGTGGTGTTCTGTTGGGATGTCTTGCTCATTTGGACGGGCTCTTCTTGGACACAACAGAATTTATTAGGAGATTGAAAACTCTTGGGTTTCCAGAAGGTGTTTCCAACAGATCTTCACATGGATTAAGAGCAAGGTGAATCTAGTAGGGGAAAAAAAAGTTATTAAAGATGCTGACTTCAACTACAGTCTTATACATCATTGGCTTTAGCATAAAGTACTGATGCTACATCTAGCAGTAATACATGATAACTGTGCTGGAAGTGGACAAGCTGTAAACTACATTTCTGAAGCCTCAAACATATTTGGATTGGATGGGACTATTACTGGGTCATCTAGTCAAGCTGTTTGAATTGTTCACTGGCTTCACTCAGTTATTCCAAAGCCATCCCTGATGGATGGGTGTCTAGCCTAGCCTCAAATATCTCCAGTTTCACAACCTCTGTCTTGGCAACATGTTCCACTGTCTAACTTTTCCTCCAGTTATACAATTTTCTTAGTTTTCAGACTGGAGTTTTCCTTCTGTGGCTTAAACCTATTAACAGCCTGACTCTTGACCAACAGGGGTATTTGATCCTTGTCCTCTTCGGACCACATCTCTGGGTGTATCCACAGACAAATTCCTCCCTGATCTCTTTTCTCTGGAGCAAGGGTGCTCAGCCTGTTCACCTTTTCTCAACCATCTTACAGCACTTGTTTTAAAGATGATGTTCAAATTGATGGCTGTCCTAAGGTCTGCTAGTACAGAGTGGAAAAAGAGATTTATGGAGAAACGTAATGCATTGCAAATGCTGTGTCTGGGTGACACTGTACCACAAGCAGCATGCTGAGCCTGTAACAGTATGAACCAAGCAGGTGGGACAGGAACACAGGGTGATGGCAATGTAGATCACCACACAGAGGATTGTCACCCATCAAAAGACAGCAATCACAGCTGACTCATCCACAAATAAGGTCACCTGCTGTAGTTTGTGCACTGGTCATTGTCCACTCTCCAGCAGACAAACCATCCTGATGAGCAAGACATCCTCTCACCTGACTCACGTTCTCCTGCTGCTCAGGTCAGCCTGCTCCTGGCCCTACTGGTGGCACAAGGAGGATTCCACCACAGCTGCAGGGCCATGGCCCTGGCAAGGCTAATAGCTGGTCCCCTTCTCTTCTCATCTCACAGGATGACTTCCTAAATGGCTGGGAGAGAAGAGGGGAAGGACAACAGGATGGTCCTAAGCTCCTGAAACACCTACCTACGACTCCAATGAAAAATACTGATCAGTCAAATCTCTGCGGATTTGTCATGTTGAAGAAAACCATTTAACTGGCACTAAACAATCCTACTCCAAGGTCAGACTGTGTGGCTGCAGTGCAGCCCAGCACTGTCACACACAGACATGCAATATCACACAACCAGTGTGATACATCCTTCAGAGGCCTGGGGAAAAGCAAGCAGCTGCAGCAGCACAGGCAGTGCTGACTGCCCAGGGTGGGCAGTGTCCAGCCCAGGAACACGTCCGGCATCCACAGCAGCAGATGGATGGCTTCATTGTCTGCCTGATGAATGGAGGGATGGGGGACAGGCTTGTAAGCCAGCTCCTGTGTGTCACTAATAATTCTAAACTCAAAGGTTCATCACCTGTGTACTGTTCCTGTTTGTTTTTCTCAGCAGTCTGAGTTGCTGTTTTACTTTTGGATGGGCTATCATTAAAATGCTAAAATTCAACTGTGTAGATCAACTGCATATTTTCTTCCATGATGAAGGAGCCAGAACGAGATGCAGCTGCAGAATGTGGTTCAATAACATTCATGGAAAAGCCCACTAAATTTGGTTTGAATGTTACTCAAAATTAATATTCTGTCACCAAGAAGTCTTCCCACTTGTGAAGATGTGTGAGATACCCACACCCTTCCTATCAAGAAATCTTGTCATTTTCCTATTTCAGGGCAGAATGAGACCATCAACTTTTTGATATCTGTGGAGCTGAATCTAGATACATAGTGTCTAACACCTTTGTATTAGTATTTTCCCAATAGCAACTCTTAAAGCAACTTTTGCAAACCGTGATTCAGTGTCAGATTCTCACCTAATAAGCAGTTTGGTTGGGCAGTTAAACTGAATACCCAGCTAACAAGGTGTTCCCTGTGCACCAACACCAGACTGGCAGGGCCAGTTGTAGCTGTGCATGTGCAATTGCACAAACATTTTTTAGTGAAGGTGTAAGTGTATGCTCCTCTTAGAGCACACACTGGCCTTGTCTACACTTTATTTTAAAATACAGGATCTCTGCAGCCCTCAAAGTATATACAGTTCTCTTAGGTTGTCTCTGACAAGTAGATTTTTGACACCTTTTCCAAATCAGACAGAATGCTCTGCTGTCCCCTCTGCTTCAACACATTTCAGTGTTTGCAAAATTCACCTGGACAAGCCAGTTATGTAACCCACACCATTTTCACGATCTGATTTTTGTGCTCCATGAGCTACTACAGAGAAGAGGTGGCTCCTGTCCCAAAAGGAACACCTGACAAGTTTCTTCATATCACCAGGTTCCATGTGCTACTTCTTTCTACACTATCAAAACTATTTAATACTTCTTTAACACTTCTTTCCTATCTCTATCAGATTTCCCCATAATTCAATGAAAAAGTTATTTGTTCCATTAAACCTAACATTAATGGAATATTTTAGTTGGGCAGTACATAGGTATAAGCAGAGAAGATAAGCAGTGCCACACCTCTCAAGCAAGAATTCTAGCCCTGCCTGCTCACAGACCTCCCTCAGTTCCTTCCTAGTGGAACTGATTTGTTTTTTATTAAATTACTATTTCTTGAGTGAGACACGCTCTTATCTGGCCTGATGATCAGAACCCTTAACTGGGACAGGTGACATCTGGATTCCTGTCCTGCTCCAAAGAATATGCAGAGCAAGTAGCACTAACTGAACTGCATCACAAAGTTACAGGAGTGCCAACAACTGAGGCTTGAAACTTGTTTTTCCACCTGGTGTTTGGAGGCTAGATGCCCATTACCAATTGTCAGAAGGCTACCCCAGATAGCAGCAGGTGCTATGGGCCATCCTTCAGCACAAGTCAGCTGTTCCACACCTCTCCACACAGGTCGCTTTCCTGTGACTGCGTGACAGCCCCAGCACAGCAGGAGACAACTCCTCAGAGAGCCAGCCCAGTTTCCCAGCATCTTGTTCCCATAAAACTACTCATGAGCTTCAGCTCAGCAACAGCCCTAGGCTGGTTCCACCCAACACATGGTACTGTTTCCAGTGGCCAGTTAGAACTGCCTGGTTCTCTCCTTGGGCCACCAACTGGCCACCCAGGAAACCAACTGGCCACCCACTACAGCATAATAGCTGGTAACTCAAGAGGTGTCTTCTCAGGCAGAAAGATGTTTCTTACTGTCTCACAGTACTCCTCAGGGACCAATGAAGCAATGAAGGCCTTAATTTGCTTTCACACATACAAAAAATAAAAATGAAGACATTAAACTTCCAAATGTTTGCTTTGGCGGAAAAAAAAGTGTTTTGTCAATTAAATCTTTTTAACTTTTTTTTTTAACTTGGTAGCAAAAAGAGAGCTTCTCTCTGCTCATTTCTTGAGGTGTGACTGTGATTCTGATCATTAGTCAGAATTACTTTATTGTACAAATTCACAAAGCTGTCTTGTCAAATGCAAAATCGGTCCCAATCTGAACAGCAATTTGTGGCCTTTCTTCTCCTAGATTTCACTAGGAATACCCTACCAGGATCCGACTCTAGATTCCAGTGACCCTGTACTAAGGACAGTGGCACAGAACTCCAGGCACACATCTGCTGAACAGTGGGAGGGCCGACTCCTGCATGGTTCACACTCACAGGTTTGCAGGAGCTGGTGCTAACTCTCACGTACTGAAGGCTGGGCTTTTGGGACGAGGTAGCTCAATCCCATCATTTCTTGCCATAGCTGACAACACTACTTTTCCACATTTATTTCAGAATCTCCATTTTTAATACACGTCTTACAAGAAAAATGCACTCTGACATCCTTAACAGACTTAGGTATCACAACACATAAGGCATGCATTTTAACGTGATAGAATCCCAAATACTGGGAGGCAAGGAGGCATTAAAAAATTCTTTCGAATTAAAACGACAGCTGTGATGTCTAACGATAAACCAATTCCTTCAATTCGAAAGTTTTGCAAGTTATAAAAGCTTATGCTTTCCGAAGTGGCTCTGCGCGGCACTGTTACGGAGCTGCGACTGCTCTTCCTGCCGGATGTCAGCGCTAAGGCCAGCGCGGGGCTCCCTGCCTGCCAAAGTTCTGGTTTGAAACTTTGACTGGAGCTATGGGAATCCGTCAGGAGCCTGACACATCCGTCGAGCCGCTCCCCAGGGCGCCGCGCACCGGGCGGCACCGCAGGGGCTCCGGGCCGCGCTCCCCGGCTGCCCCCGGCCGGGCGCGCTCCCGCCCGGCCCCGCCGCCCAACGCCCCCGGAGCCGCCCCGCCGCGGCCTCGCTCCCCCCGCCCCCGGGCCGGCACCGACCAGGGGGACCGGGACCGACCGGGACCGGCCCGGCCCTCCCCGGCGGGCCCATGGCGCCGCCGCCGCCGCCGCCCTCCCCGGGCCGCCCTCCCGCCCGCCGAGGCCGCGCCGCTCCTCCCCCGAGCGAGCGGGGCGCGGGGGTGCCCGGCGCTGCCAAGCCGTGACTTCACCGGGGGAGGGGAGGCAGCCGGGGCCGCCCGCCGATTGCATCACGCGCTGCCGTGCGGGGCCCGGCGGGCGGGGGAGGCCGCGGCCCCCCGGCCCCGGCGCGCGCCCCCCGCGCTTACCTGAGCGGCGCGAGCGGCGGGAGGGGCCGGGCGGGCCGCGCTCGGTACCGTGCGCGTGCGGCGAGCGCCGGTTGCGACACCGCGCGAGGCCGCCCCGCCCCCGGGTGATGCAACCGCCGCGGGACTGGCAGCGCGCGCAGCCAATCAGCGCCCGCGGGGGGGCGGGGCCAAGCACGGAGGTGTTGGGGTGGGGGGCGGGGGCCGCGCGTCCCTCGGGCTCCGCTCCAGCCCCCCCACGGCCGGGGCTCGTCACGGCCTGAGCTCCGCTACGGCCGGAGTTCGGGTACGGCCGGTGATCGTCACGGCCGGGGCTCGTCACGGTCTGAGCTCCGCTACGGCCTGAGCTCGGGTACGGCCGGTGATCGTCACGGCCGGGGCTCGTCACGGCCTGACCCTAGGCACGGCCGGAGTCCGGCCATGGCCGGGGCCTTGTCACGGCCGCTCGCAGGGTTTGTGTCCCTGAAGGAAAAGGCGCTCGTGGGCAGGCGTGTCGCTGGAGCGGGCCCCCGGGATCCATTTTCCTCTCCTGGACAGGGACCGGGTTGAGAGGCCGCCCTGCCCGGCCCGGGGGCTGGCGGGGAGCGAGGCGGCCGCGTCCCCGCGCCGGTAGGAACCGGGGCCCGCCCGTACTTCGAGAGGGTCCTCCCACAGCCGCAGGGGGAGAAGCGCAGAGCGCGTTGCCCGCTGAGACCCGGCGAGACGGAGAGCTCGGCCCGGGCCCGGCGGGAGCACAGCGCAGCTGCGGAGTGCCCGGGCCCGGCCGGGCCGGGCGGTTTCCTGGGCGTACCTGGCACAGCTCGTGGGTTCCGTCCTCGCGTGGGCCTCTGGCGTTAGCGCTGGACTCCATGAGCCTCTTCCAGCTCAGAATGTTCTGTGAGTCTGGTGAAGCTGGCCAGTGCCCCACGGGCATCCAAGTTGATGGTGGTGTGTTTCTGTACTGATTGGCATATCCTAATTGTTCCCAGGCTGTTAATTAACACCTAGCAGTGTATTCCCATCTCGATCCTAGCTGCTGTGTGCTTTGCCTCTGTAGAATGTTGTGAGATCAAGGGGAAGGAATGCCAAAGACATCCCAAAAAAGTATCAACAGTTCTCTTTGCAGCAGAAATTACAGCAAATTTCTAAATTTCCTAGATTCCTGGTTAATTTTTCTTTTCTAACTTTTTAGAAAAGAGATCCTAAATGTTGGCAGACTAGGAAACATCTGGATTATAGAGTTAAATGTCACAGGAAGATTATGCACCATTTCACTGGTATGTTTGTTGTTATAAAATACTTCACTTTTTGAGGAGAAAAGTTCTTTTTGCCCTTAATATTTCCAGACTCTTTGGTTTATATCACTTTAGTTCTGCCCAAACAAGCATATACTTATATATGTATATATATACAGACATAGGCTCACATCTCAAGCTGTGTGTGAGCAAGGTATGTTTGCAGCTCCCTGAGTGGGAAATGTGCACTTCAATACACAGGTGTGTGTGTTTGCAGTGGGCAGGTCTGAAAATAATCTGTAAGGTAGGCAAGTTTAGAACAAGTTCAAGTGTTCAGGCAGTGAAAACAATTCTATTGGAAAAGTGGGATTTTTTAATGCAGAGAAAAAAATGTTAAGGACCTATGCTACTCTGGTTTAACACATAGACGTGCTTGAAAATGTTTTATGCCTGCAAAAGACCTGTGAAGAATTAGATTTGTAAATACAATTGCAGAGCTCAGTAATATAGATACAATTATTTATATTTACCATTTTTATGGCTGGCTGATGTTGTGGAGGGGTTTTGTTTTTGTAAAACCCTGTGGAAAATAAACCATATTTACAGAAAAATTCTGAGGGTTAGTCTGGGCAAACAGTTTTACTCAGCTCATTTACCACAAACATACTTTTCCTTGCCAATTATCAAGTATTTGCTTTAGCTTCTCTAATGTTGTTCTGTTTCTTAATTGAAACTGTTACCTTTTCTGTGACAACGACTCATCCATCTATAGCTAGAGTGAAATTCCAGGTAAGCTTCAAACATTATCCTTTGCTCACAATAGTTAAGTAAACGTGTGCTCTTAGTATGCTTTCGTAGGATTTTAGAGCATTTAATGACCATTCATTCATTAATCCTCATCAAAGATAACTAAAGAAAATAAAATGCAGACAAACTTATTCTCACAGAGTCTGACTATTTTGAAAGTTGAGGCTCACACATAATTCCCTGCATGTAAGGCACTCCAGTGCTTGGTTGGCATTATATCCTGTTAAAGGAAACCATCACACAGCATCCTTCAGTTTTTGCAGGGTGTTTTCTTCCCCACAATGTTACAATACAGTAAAAATAGAATAGTGTGAAGCAACCTAAAAAGTAAGCACAGAAATACATGGACGACTGGGATGTGGCATTGAAACACACACTTCACCTCTTGTGTACAAACTGTGCCAGGTGAGCAGTGGCTCTGGAGTGGGGTGTTGGAAGCAGCCTGATCCCTGCTGGGACAGAGCCCTTCTCACTGATCCTGGCTGTGTTCCTACAGCAACCAGCTACCCCTGTGATAATAGATAATTCTGGAATAGTATCTTAGTTTCAAATGCATTATCCAGTCTCATGACTGTTTGAAGACTTTAGTCCTGGAAAAAAATTACACTGATACTCAGTGTCTTCAAGCAATCTGCAGCAATTCACATTTCGAGGCAGAAAGGCCATTGAGGAAATAGAAACTGCAGGAACTGGAGTCAGAAGGTATAAAGGGGAGAGGAGCCTGTTGGGACAAATGTCCCTGTTTACTGCCCACACAGTATGTTCCTTTAACACAAAAACAGTAAAAAGTTCCCTGGTGCCTTTCACTTAGAGCAAAAACTACTTTGTTGCCCTTGGAATAGTTTCAGTTGTGTTTGATTCCATTGTTCACACGTATTTCCTCTGTCTTCGGGGGCAATTATTTCTTTGTCTTAAAATAAAAACCCTACAACCTCCTGGACTACAACCTACACGTTAAAAAATTGTTTCTTTCCATAAGCATTTGCCTCTGTTTCCCTCCTTTTTTTTTTTTACTTCAGACTTGCACATTTCAGTAAAAAGTTTACTTTTCACATACGATGCTGCTGTGTACTTTTTCACTATGGTCTAACAGTCATGCCTTTGAATTCTAGAGAAGAAATTGCTAATTTCTCTCCAGTGATTTAGAAGAGAGAAGAATAAATATATTTGTATATGTAGTTTACAGGTGGAAACAAATAGGCCCCTTAGGTAAAAACACATAATTCCAGGCTGTGAGGAACACTCAGATGTATTTAAGGGGAAATGCACTGAATTATACCAAAATATAACATTTTGTTGGTAACTACTATCCCTTTTCTTGGTAGTCTCAACCCAGATTTACTCAAAACTGGAAAGATTCTCTCAATATGATTTCATTCCTTATGATCACCAAGCAGATGGCATTCATTCAGGAATATCCCAGAAGTACAAAGTCTGTAATAGAGGTTTTCCATAATCTTATTATTGCAAATCTCCCTTCTCTTAACAGCCCTGCATTTTGGTATTACAATAATTACTTTTCGTGTTCAGGACTGACCTGTACCAAGACCAAAATCCTATTGTTAGAAATCTGAATTTTGCAGAGCTGAGGCTGTTAAAGCTTCAGAAAGCAGAAGGATTGCTGAATTTCTTTTCTCAGAGCTCTGTCTATATATAAAAAAAAATTAAACACAGAGAAAAAGCAATATGAATAGCTCAGCCTATTTGTTTGAAAAAGCTTATAGCTCCTAAGTGCAGAGTTTGGGTTTTCACTATGATTGAATAATTTAAGTGACAGAAACTTATCTGTTAATAGCTGATTTGTCAGAGGTAGCCTTTTTGACTAGGTGAGGAGAAAGGAAATACTGCATAGTAGTGATTGCTATTTCAGTATCGTACTGCTAATTCTAGCACTGACTCACTCCAGCCTTGGAAAGCTACAGTGCTTTTGTTCTAGCAAATACTAAGTAAAGAAAGGAACCAATCTGTACTAATAGCAAACATCCATTTTATTGTCACATTTGCCTGGAGTTCATTTGCAGGAAAAATCTGGTGCCTTTGTTCTTTCTCTCTGTGCAGCTAATAAGTCTTGTAACTAACTATTTCCAGTTTCTAGTCCTGCATCTTCCAGAATTACTCCCCTTTATTTGCAGTTATCAAAATATCCAGGTTATCTGGCTATCTAGAGTTACTTATACCAGTTTCTGAAAAATCAATCAATTCAATTACACATGCAAACTAAATGCAATGGTTCTTAAATGTAGGAGGACAAAAAAACCCGTAATAGACAACTGTTCCCCACAACTTCAGCAGCTATTGGGTGATAGCAAAAGGAATCAGGCTAACCCAGAAGTCTTACAGAGTCTGAAAAAAACTAATAGATCTATGAGATATATACATCATATAGTAGAAAATGAATGCATTGATGATCTGTATGCTTTTACAACAAACCCAAGCTGTCACTTCTATAGGCATTACACACCGTGCTTCTCCAGCTACTGCTGTTCACATTTCCCTCTACAGCTCTGAGGGGAATGAGAGGTTTGGTACTTCAAGCTTGAGGAACTGGTTTCATCTAGGTAGAATCTGCAGTAGCAGTGCCCGGAGATTTGATTTCCTAATTGGCATATTTTTGTTTCATGCTGTTATCAGGAAGGTGATTTTTTTAATCAGAAACTGTTAGCAAGCACCTTGAGAATCAGCCAACTGCACAGATACATTTTTGCAAGTTTCACTTTTTTGTGTGGTGTTCTGGTTAGTAGGTTGGGTTCTTCAGCAGTCACACATCAGAGTCTTCTCTTTCATAGCTACAAAATACTGTTGATTGTAAATTTATATTTTAATGGAACCCTTACTCAGTCTGTGCTGTCATGCTGTCAGGAATTTGTTCTTCAATCCAAGCCAGCTCAGGTTCTCCAATGCCAGTGTTCCATTTCTCCAGATGGTACTTTGACCTGAGAAGTGTGCCATTACAGCCATGGCTTCTTGAGGGATTTGAAGGTAGAGAGACATCTTGTTACCTTTGTGACAATTCTTTGCACATAAAAATACTGTCACAAAAATTTTTGCTATTTTAAAATTTAACATATCATCCCATCTCTCCACTGTATTCCAGAGGACTGCTTAGGAGTCCATGACCAGATATACATTAGTGTTCAGTAGCCACACGTCCCTTTGAAGTGAATGAAGCAGCTGAGATTACTATCTGTGACCTCCTATGGGAATATCAGAATGTGGAATTAGAAGCTTTCTTGTAGGTATTTGAGTTTAAAAATATCAAATATGTCCCTGGAGAATGCCTGGTCTGTGAGGAGGCTTCTAGGTATGTCAACCCAAAGTGTTCAGATTTCTGGAAGATCATCTAACAAAAAGAATGAACACTATACTCCTTTACAGTTTGTTGGGGTTTTTTTAAAGATTTTACAAACGTGTTTGTGTTTGAGTGCTCTCTGGCTTTGCTCTGATGTCTATTGTTCCAATAAAAATTCGTATAGCCTTTTTTGTGAATTTCACTGGGGCTTGGCTTGAGTTTTACCCAAGCCTCTTTAGTAATTGTACGAAACAATGCAAACTGCAAGTCTTCTGGTATCTACAGAACATGACAGGGATCTGCCACTGACCATTCTGGGGGTTTGCTGCCATGTGGATGTAAAATGTTAGGTAAGATGAGGGCTGCAGAGCTAAAGATGAGTAAAAACAAAATAGATAAATGGATTGAAAGGAAAATGTTATTTATTGTGTGAGTATATGTGCACATATAAAATCTGGTTCAAAAGAGAACTTGTTCAGTTCTAACAAGTCTGAGCGAGAATTAATGGCCCACACCTGGGAATAAGTGGTGAATTCTCAAGTATCCAGGTTTAGTAATTGCCACACCTGTCCTATATTCCCAAAAGCATAAATGAGGCCTGCAAGGATTTAGATAGCTTAGCTTCTGAATGCACAGTGCCATGGCTCTTTTCCAAGGCATCATCAGTCACCATGCGAAAATCCCCACCCATAATTACCACGGCATTATTTATCACAGGGTATACTCCAGTGAAGAACTTTACCTTACTCCTATGATATCAAGAAGAGTGAATAGTTTCAGTCATTAATTTTATCCAGACTTGAAAATGGTTCAGAACAGAAGCCTAAAATAAATACCCTTCCAGAAAAGCGATGAAATTGGAGAAGCATAGCTTTGTTTATGGCATCATGGTTTTGGAAAGATGAGGAAATAAACCGCGTTCTTATAAATGCTTTATTATTTCTTGTGACCAATATGACCTCTTAAATACCATGAAAAGCTCAGGGAATGGCCATTTGAAACACAAAACTGAGAGTCTGGCACCTGGCAGAGGACAGTCCACCTGATTGTTTACTCCACCTCAATTCTGTTCATGAGTGTGAATAGAAAATGAAAACAGAAAATTATTTATCCTTGTAAAAAATATGTGGGAGGACATTTGAGGAAATGTATTAGCAATTGCAATATTTGCAATTGACCTGTCTGTCACTGACCTCCTGCTGCTAAACATTGAGGAGAATTTTGGACAAGATAATCAGTGACTGATACTTTGGTCAGGCAAGCAGACTATCTTTTGTCCCCAAGAGAAAAGAAGGTAAGTACTTAGCTCAGCAGGGCCATCTTCCTTCCAGAATGTCAATTCTTTGCATTTGGTGAGTAAACTGTTTCTAGTTCTGATNCCGCCGCCGCCGCCCTCCCCGGGCCGCCCTCCCGCCCGCCGAGGCCGCGCCGCTCCTCCCCCGAGCGAGCGGGGCGCGGGGGTGCCCGGCGCTGCCAAGCCGTGACTTCACCGGGGGAGGGGAGGCAGCCGGGGCCGCCCGCCGATTGCATCACGCGCTGCCGTGCGGGGCCCGGCGGGCGGGGGAGGCCGCGGCCCCCCGGCCCCGGCACGCGCCCCCCGCGCTTACCTGAGCGGCGCGAGCGGCGGGAGGGGCCGGGCGGGCCGCGCTCGGTACCGTGCGCGTGCGGCGAGCGCCGGTTGCGACACCGCGCGAGGCCGCCCCGCCCCCGGGTGATGCAACCGCCGCGGGACTGGCAGCGCGCGCAGCCAATCAGCGCCCGCGGGGGGGCGGGGCCAAGCACGGAGGTGTTGGGGTGGGGGGCGGGGGCCGCGCGTCCCTCGGGCTCCGCTCCAGCCCCCCCACGGCCGGGGCTCGTCACGGCCTGAGCTCCGCTACGGCCGGAGTTCGGGTACGGCCGGTGATCGTCACGGCCGGGGCTCGTCACGGTCTGAGCTCCGCTACGGCCTGAGCTCGGGTACGGCCGGTGATCGTCACGGCCGGGGCTCGTCACGGCCTGACCCTAGGCACGGCCGGAGTCCGGCCATGGCCGGGGCCTTGTCACGGCCGCTCGCAGGGTTTGTGTCCCTGAAGGAAAAGGCGCTCGTGGGCAGGCGTGTCGCTGGAGCGGGCCCCCGGGATCCATTTTCCTCTCTTGGACAGGGACCGGGTTGAGAGGCCGCCCTGCCCGGCCCGGGGGCTGGCGGGGAGCGAGGCGGCCGCGTCCCCGCGCCGGTAGGAACCGGGGCCCGCCCGTACTTCGAGAGGGTCCTCCCACAGCCGCAGGGGGAGAAGCGCAGAGCGCGTTGCCCGCTGAGACCCGGCACGGAGAGCTCGGCCCGGGCCCGGCGGGAGCACAGCGCAGCTGCGGAGTGCCCGGGCCCGGCCGGGCCGGGCGGTTTCCTGGGCGTACCTGGCACAGCTCGTGGGTTCCGTCCTCGCGTGGGCCTCTGGCGTTAGCGCTGGACTCCATGAGCCTCTTCCAGCTCAGAATGTTCCGTGAGTCTGGTGAAGCTGGCCAGTGCCCCACGGGCATCCAAGTTGATGGTGGTGTGTTTCTGTACTGATTGGCATATCCTAATTGTTCCCAGGCTGTTAATTAACACCTAGCAGTGTATTCCCATCTCGATCCTAGCTGCTTTGCCTCTGTAGAATGTTGTGAGATCAAGGGGAAGGAATGCCAAAGACATCCCAAAAAAGTATCAACAGTTCTCTTTGCAGCAGAAATTACAGCAAATTTCTAAATTTCCTAGATTCCTGGTTAATTTTTCTTTTCTAACTTTTTAGAAAAGAGATCCTAAATGTTGGCAGACTAGGAAACATCTGGATTATAGAGTTAAATGTCACAGGAAGATTATGCACCATTTCACTGGTATGTTTGTTGTTATAAAATACTTCACTTTTTGAGGAGAAAAGTTCTTTTTGCCCTTAATATTTCCAGACTCTTTGGTTTATATCACTTTAGTTCTGCCCAAACAAGCATATACTTATATATGTATATATATACAGACATAGGCTCACATCTCAAGCTGTGTGTGAGCAAGGTATGTTTGCAGCTCCCTGAGTGGGAAATGTGCACTTCAATACACAGGTGTGTGTGTTTGCAGTGGGCAGGTCTGAAAATAATCTGTAAGGTAGGCAAGTTTAGAACAAGTTCAAGTGTTCAGGCAGTGAAAACAATTCTATTGGAAAAGTGGGATTTTTTAATGCAGAGAAAAAAATGTTAAGGACCTATGCTACTCTGGTTTAACACATAGACGTGCTTGAAAATGTTTTATGCCTGCAAAAGACCTGTGAAGAATTAGATTTGTAAATACAATTGCAGAGCTCAGTAATATAGATACAATTATTTATATTTACCATTTTTATGGCTGGCTGATGTTGTGGAGGGGTTTTGTTTTTGTAAAACCCTGTGGAAAATAAACCATATTTACAGAAAAATTCTGAGGGTTAGTCTGGGCAAACAGTTTTACTCAGCTCATTTACCACAAACATACTTTTCCTTGCCAATTATCAAGTATTTGCTTTAGCTTCTCTAATGTTGTTTTGTTTCTTAATTGAAACTGTTACCTTTTCTGTGACAACGACTCATCCATCTATAGCTAGAGTGAAATTCCAGGTAAGCTTCAAACATTATCCTTTGCTCACAATAGTTAAGTAAATGTGTGCTCTTAGTATGCTTTCGTAGGATTTTAGAGCATTTAATGACCATTCATTCATTAATCCTCATCAAAGATAACTAAAGAAAATAAAATGCAGACAAACTTATTCTCACAGAGTCTGACTATTTTGAAAGTTGAGGCTCACACATAATTCCCTGCATGTAAGGCACTCCAGTGCTTGGTTGGCATTATATCCTGTTCAAGGAAACCATCACACAGCATCCTTCAGTTTTTGCAGGGTGTTTTCTTCCCCACAATGTTACAATACAGTAAAAATAGAATAGTGTGAAGCAACCTAAAAAGTAAGCACAGAAATACATGGACGACTGGGATGTGGCAATGAAACACACACTTCACCTCTTGTGTACAAACTGTGCCAGGTGAGCAGTGGCTCTGGAGTGGGGTGTTGGAAGCAGCCTGATCCCTGCTGGGACAGAGCCCTTCTCACTGATCCTGGCTGTGTTCCTACAGCAACCAGCTACCCCTGTGATAATAGATAATTCTGGAATAGTATCTTAGTTTCAAATGCATTATCCAGTCTCATGACTGTTTGAAGACTTTAGTCCTGGAAAAAAATTACACTGATACTCAGTGTCTTCAAGCAATCTGCAGCAATTCACATTTCGAGGCAGAAAGGCCATTGAGGAAATAGAAACTGCAGGAACTGGAGTCAGAAGGTATAAAGGGGAGAGGAGCCTGTTGGGACAAATGTCCCTGTTTACTGCCCACACAGTATGTTCCTTTAACACAAAAACAGTAAAAAGTTCCCTGGTGCCTTTCACTTAGAGCAAAAACTACTTTGTTGCCCTTGGAATAGTTTCAGTTGTGTTTGATTCCATTGTTCACGCGTATTTCCTCTGTCTTCGGGGGCAATTATTTCTTTGTCTTAAAATAAAAACCCTACAACCTCCTGGACTACAACCTACACGTTAAAAAATTGTTTCTTTCCATAAGCATTTGCCTCTGTTTCCCTCTTTTTTTTTTTTTTTACTTCAGACTTGCACATTTCAGTAAAAAGTTTACTTTTCACATATGATGCTGCTGTGTACTTTTTCACTATGGTCTAACAGTCATGCCTTTGAATTCTAGAGAAGAAATTGCTAATTTCTCTCCAGTGATTTAGAAGAGAGAAGAATAAATATATTTGTATATGTAGTTTACAGGTGGAAACAAATAGGCCCCTTAGGTAAAAACACATAATTCCAGGCTGTGAGGAACACTCAGATGTATTTAAGGGGAAATGCACTGAATTATACCAAAATACAACATTTTGTTGGTAACTACTATCCCTTTTCTTGGTAGTCTCAACCCAGATTTACTCAAAACTGGAAAGATTCTCTCAATATGATTTCATTCCTTATGATCACCAAGCAGATGGCATTCATTCAGGAATATCCCAGAAGTACAAAGTCTGTAATAGAGGTTTTCCATAATCTTATTATTGCAAATCTCCCTTCTCTTAACAGCCCTGCATTTTGGTATTACAATAATTACTTTTCGTGTTCAGGACTGACCTGTACCAAGACCAAAATCCTATTGTTAGAACTCTGAATTTTGCAGAGCTGAGGCTGTTAAAGCTTCAGAAAGCAGAAGGATTGCTGAATTTCTTTTCTCAGAGCTCTGTCTATATATAAAAAAAAATTAAACACAGAGAAAAAGCAATATGAATAGCTCAGCCTATTTGTTTGAAAAAGCTTATAGCTCCTAAGTGCAGAGTTTGGGTTTTCACTATGATTGAATAATTTAAGTGACAGAAACTTATCTGTTAATAGCTGATTTGTCAGAGGTAGCCTTTTTGACTAGGTGAGGAGAAAGGAAATACTGCATAGTAGTGATTGCTATTTCAGTATCGTACTGCTAATTCTAGCACTGACTCACTCCAGCCTTGGAAAGCTACAGTGCTTTTGTTCTAGCAAATACTAAGTAAAGAAAGGAACCAATCTGTACTAATAGCAAACATCCATTTTATTGTCACATTTGCCTGGAGTTCATTTGCAGGAAAAATCTGGTGCCTTTGTTCTTTCTCTCTGTGCAGCTAATAAGTCTTGTAACTAACTATTTCCAGTTTCTAGTCCTGCATCTTCCAGAATTACTCCCCTTTATTTGCAGTTATCAAAATATCCAGGTTATCTGGCTATCTAGAGTTACTTATACCGGTTTCTGAAAAATCAATCAATTCAATTACACATGCAAACTAAATGCAATGGTTCTTAAATGTAGGAGGACAAAAAAACCCGTAATAGACAACTGTTCCCCACAACTTCAGCAGCTATTGGGTGATAGCAAAAGGAATCAGGCTAACCCAGAAGTCTTACAGAGTCTGAAAAAAACTAATAGATCTATGAGATATATACATCATATAGTAGAAAATGAATGCATTGATGATCTGTATGCTTTTACAAATGGTTGTACAAACCCAAGCTGTCACTTCTATAGGCATTACACACCGTGCTTCTCCAGCTACTGCTGTTCACATTTCCCTCTACAGCTCTGAGGGGAATGAGAGGTTTGGTACTTCAAGCTTGAGGAACTGGTTTCATCTAGGTAGAATCTGCAGTAGCAGTGCCCGGAGATTTGATTTCCTAATTGGCATATTTTTGTTTCATGCTGTTATCAGGAAGGTGATTTTTTTAATCAGAAACTGTTAGCAAGCACCTTCAGAATCAGCCAACTGCACAGATACATTTTTGCAAGTTTCACTTCTTTGTGTGGTGTTCTGGTTAGTAGGTTGGGTTCTTCAGCAGTCACACATCAGAGTCTTCTCTTTCATAGCTACAAAATACTGTTGATTGTAAATTTATATTTTAATGGAACCCTTACTCAGTCTGTGCTGTCATGCTGTCAGGAATTTGTTCTTCAATCCAAGCCAGCTCAGGTTCTCCAATGCCAGTGTTCCATTTCTCCAGATGGTACTTTGACCTGAGAAGTGTGCCATTACAGCCATGGCTTCTTGAGGGATTTGAAGGTAGAGAGACATCTTGTTACCTTTGTGACAATTCTTTGCACATAAAAATACTGTCACAAAAATTTTTGCTATTTTAAAATTTAACATATCATCCCATCTCTCCACTGTATTCCAGAGGACTGCTTAGGAGATGACCAATATATTTTAGGTATATGAACATGACCAGATATACATTAGTGTTCAGTAGCCACACGTCCCTTTGAAGTGAATGAAGCAGCTGAGATTACTATCTGTGACCTCCTATGGGAATATCAGAATGTGGAATTAGAAGCTTTCTTGTAGGTATTTGAGTTTAAAAATATCAAATATGTCCCTGGAGAATGCCTGGTCTGTGAGGAGGCTTCTAGGTACGTCAACCCAAAGTGTTCAGATTTCTGGAAGATCATCTAACAAAAAGAATGAACACTATACTCCTTTACAGTTTGTTGGGGTTTTTTTAAAGATTTTACAAACGTGTTTGTGTTTGAGTGCTCTCTGGCTTTGCTCTGATGTCTATTGTTCCAATAAAAATTCGTATAGCCTTTTTTGTGAATTTCACTGGGGCTTGGCTTGAGTTTTACCCAAGCCTCTTTAGTAATTGTACGAAACAATGCAAACTGCAAGTCTTCTGGTATCTACAGAACATGACAGGGATCTGCCACTGACCATTCTGGGGGTTTGCTGCCATGTGGATGTAAAATGTTAGGTAAGATGAGGGCTGCAGAGCTAAAGATGAGTAAAAACAAAATAGATAAATGGATTGAAAGGAAAATGTTATTTATTGTGTGAGTATATGTGCACATATAAAATCTGGTTCAAAAGAGAACTTGTTCAGTTCTAACAAGTCTGAGCGAGAATTAATGGCCCACACCTGGGAATAAGTGGTGAATTCTCAAGTATCCAGGTTTAGTAATTGCCACACCTGTCCTATATTCCCAAAAGCATAAATGAGGCCTGCAAGGATTTAGATAGCTTAGCTTCTGAATGCACAGTGCCATGGCTCTTTTCCAAGGCATCATCAGTCACCATGCGAAAATCCCCACCCATAATTACCAGGGCATTATTTATCACAGGGTATACTCCAGTGAAGAACTTTACCTTACTCCTATGATATCAAGAAGAGTGAATAGTTTCAGTCATTAATTTTATCCAGACTTGAAAATGGTTCAGAACAGAAGCCTAAAATAAATACCCTTCCAGAAAAGCGATGAAATTGGAGAAGCATAGCTTTGTTTATGGCATCATGGTTTTGGAAAGATGAGGAAATAAACCGCGTTCTTATAAATGCTTTATTATTTCTTGTGACCAATATGACCTCTTAAATACCATGAAAAGCTCAGGGAATGGCCATTTGAAACACAAAACTGAGAGTCTGGCACCTGGCAGAGGACAGTCCACCTGATTGTTTACTCCACCTCAATTCTGTTCATGAGTGTGAATAGAAAATGAAAACAGAAAATTATTTATCCTTGTAAAAAATATGTGGGAGGACATTTGAGGAAATGTATTAGCAATTGCAATATTTGCAATTGATCTGTCTGTCACTGACCTCCTGCTGCTAAACATTGAGGAGAATTTTGGACAAGATAATCAGTGACTGATACTTTGGTCAGGCAAGCAGACTATCTTTTGTCCCCAAGAGAAAAGAAGGTAAGTACTTAGCTCAGCAGGGCCATCTTCCTTCCAGAATGTCAATTCTTTGCATTTGGTGAGTAAA